GATCATCAAGCTCCCAAGGCTGTACTATGCATAGTGCCCCCTCAGTTCAAAATGGGGTACCGCGGGCCTGTGTAGTGGTAAAACACAGCGTGAATGTTCACACATCTGACGGCTGGGTATTCTAGTGGTACTCGGTGTGATTTCTCACCGGCGGGACACCGGCCACTATATATCCGACACGGTCCGTTCTTTGACGCTCAGGAATATAATATCCAAGTGTAACAAGAAAACGTACACTTGAAGTTGAAGTTAGGCGTCCTCAAGCGCCATGCCAGCTACAGGAAAGCACTTTGGGAAAGAAGCATGTCGCTTACATGATTTTAACGGTCAGTTTACACGGGCGATCATTCACTAATGAATGTAACCCGTGACCCGTGACCCGTAACCCTGTTACGGGTCACGTAAGTTGAAATCAGAAGTCAGTGCTAAATCCTGGACATCTTTCTGATTTTTTTCGTCGTGTAACTCTGTTTCAACAGAACCCCCATCTCTCCGTTATCATCTTCTCCATGATATTTGTCTTACACGCAATAAAATTCCTCGTAGGACTAGGCTTGTGTGACTGTTGTTGTTGTAACGTTCTCCTTGAGTAATAGGGCGAATATATTTACCTAACATGAGATTGAAGTAATGCCATGTAGCTGCCTCGAGTGAGAGTGTGTTTTTGAGGAAGTGCAGTATATTTAGAATCTAAGACAAAGGTTTTTTAAACCGAACGTATCTTTTGACCGGAAGATTTGTGGTAATTTACCTTTAAAGTTAATTTGCACCTGGCCTTGGACATGACAGAAGTTTCTGCAAATCGCTCCTTAAACGACACCGAAGGGCCGTAAGTATTATCTTTTTGGCAGAATTCGGATATTCTTAAAATGGACTTTCGGTTAATGTCATACTTCCATGAAAAACAAAGCTTTCCTCTGCGGCAGCAGTCAAGTTCATGCGATTTAAGTGTAAACTAGCTTCCACGCGGCATAATTAGTTAATTACTGGAGAAGTGAGAGTTCTGCTTTGATATTCAACCCGTTTTATACTTTGCAAGTTAAAACATTATCTTTGTATTTGTAAACAATAGTTATCTACGAGACACTTTATAGTACTTCAAATACTTTGCATTTATAAGCTAAACTTCATTATAACATAACCAAAGTAAAGCGGGCGCTCTGATTGGTCAATTTAGCGTCCCCCATTTGCCTATGGGTGCACGCTGCTGACGCGAGCAAATGCAAAGACTATTTTTCAGCGCGCGCTTGTTTTTACTGGTCGCGTAAGATTTGTTAAATAAAAGGGAACTCTTTAGCTACAATGTATCAATGTTATGTTATAAAACAAATGGTAAACACCACAGCGTACACTATTGAGTTATGGATGCACTTGGGAGGTTTGCTAAGCACTCAAGAAGCTAGGTCGTATCATTCAGCCCATGTCACCAACGCGGCAATTTCTTTCAATGATAGCTTACATCTATCTAATGTTTGATTCCAGAGACCATGTGGTACAGTTGTATCGAAGCAAAAGAACTTTTTTGTCAAGACGTGATTGTCTTTCCAGCTAATTTAGTGGTGGGTAACTGTGCCTCCTTCTTCCAGTATTACGTGACTTTTTACTGTAATCAGCCTTGTTACGTGCGTCGCGTTGCATAGGTTAATACGTTGCTAGGTGACTGACACTCTGAAATACATGATTGACAGTCATGTAGGTTGCTATGGACCAAGTGCGCTCGGATTAGATGAGATTTTTGTGAGTTTTTTTTCGTCTTTTTGTGTTGAGTTACAGTCTTTCGGTGAAATCAAGTGTAATTAATTTTCGAACTAGCAAATGTGCTATATGGTCGTCGGAGCGACATTCTCATGTTACCAAGGCTCAAAACCTCTGCCTCTGACTTCTTTGCAGCCAGATATTTTCGTAATTTTCACGAGGGCTCTTTCGCAAATCTCGAGCACGTTTGAGTTTACTAAGTCAGTAGCACAAGCTTAGCCCGTGCTATTGGAATTGGGGGAACCTTCTCTCCAACAACAGACCCGTGGAAGCGATGTTACATCACGTGTCGCTTGGCAACGAATCGGAACGTGACTATGGCGATACATTCAAAAGACAAAACTCGACATGACTTACTTACGTGTACCAGTTCATTACAACCAAGAACCTTTCATGTTAACAAAAGAGATTTACTGATTGCTGAACAATTGTGGCTTTGTTGGTGTTTTTTCGTAGTGGCTGCTTAGCAGTGTCTGATATATCAATATATATATATATAAATTGCTTTATTATTTAAAAGATGTATTTATTTTTTAATATATTTAGATAAATTTATATATATTATTATTTATTGTTACTATACTACTCACTCAGACAGTATC